ATTAAGTTGTTAACTTTTATCCTCTTTCTGTTATTAACTCTTCTTCAGAGTAAATTGCCTTCATAGTCCTTAAAGTGATGAAGGTCTTAATGTCTTACCAAATAAGAATAAAATTAAATCGCAGGCAGAGTCATGTGGACCAGCAAACCAGGTGTTCCTGGAGAAAGTGAGAATTTTTCTCTAGTACTTGTGTTACTCCAGTTGAACTTCTTCCTCTTTCAGCTGGTTGAACATCATTATATAAGGCTGTCAGTGAAAGTATCTTGAGACTGCAACTATTTTGCAGTTGTTTAAAAACCAGGACCGTTTTGAGGCTGTTGAGCAAGAGTAAGGTATGAGAAAAGCTTCTGTGTAATTTTTAATTTTTTTCCCTGTTGTGACTGTTTGGAGCAGTTATTTGGACCTATAATTGAAGATAARCAGATTCTTTCCCTTAACCATGTTGGAAAGAATACTGTACAGGAGAAAAAATAGTCTTATTGCAATAAAATGGAACATTGCTGTATTAACAAGGCAACAATCTTAAAAAAAGATATCCCCCACTTCTGCAAAGGTCCTTGTTCTACCAACACTCTTCACTTTACAACTAGATAAGAACTTCCCTACCTCCCACTGGCTAAACATACATGTAAGCAAACACTGTTTGCTAAATTAAACTCTGGGACTGCTGCAAATATGGTATGCTGTGTATACTCTGCTWTTATAATTGTGAAAATATTCTGATAACACCTCTTACAAGAGTAGCTGGATTGGCTACAGATATGCATATCTTACTGGGTGATCTTTTCCTTTCTGCCCCTTCAAGAGTGAAAACAACAACAGGCCTTCCTGTGCTTGTTTTAAGTTCTTGTCCKGATTATTGCAGGCAATTGCTTTTAAAATTCCTGTGAATGGTGACTTAAGTCTCTTTCAAAGTTAATAGCTTTTCTTTCTGCATTRCTCAAACTGAAATCCATAATCCTCTGATCTTCTGAGCAAATATGTTCATGACCCTTTGTGCTTGTGCTAACACTGACGTTTAGCCTAATTAGCTATTCTGCCTTCATGGGATTTGCCTYGTGCATTTACAGAAAAATTATATTTTCCAAGCCTAGGCTGGTGCTGAGTTACCTGTGACTGTACTGCTGAAATATCACTGGAGRATGAAATGTATTCAGGAGGCTGATTTGTTTGTTGTTGCAAAGCTGTAGCTTGTGGGGCTCATAGTCAGAGGTACCGTTACTGCCTAATGTGACTTCCCAGGGCCTAGGGCCAGTTCTCCAAGGCTTTTATTGCTCTTAGTATTCTTCTTGGCTTCCCTGCTTCAAAATAAATGTTTATTATTTCCTGAGCATGGGTGTCAACCAAGCTTAGTTACTTCTGAGAATGAGTTCCTCTGCAGATGTAAATTGTATTGCATTTATCTGTCCTCCTCAGCTTCCTGTTGCCTTATRTGTAGACTTCCAACTCATCCTAGTTGCTAGTGCTGATGTGTTGTAGCAGTGGAGAAATAGTTAGAAAACTGTGTAGCTTTCAAACACCTGAACCTTCTTTTTTTTTTAAGAGCCGGTAGGTTACTTGTAAGTGAATGCTTTCTGGGATGAAGGTGTATAGAGATAGCAGCTGCTGAGCAGCCAGGCCTGCAGGGTAGTTGTTCAGCTGAAGGAGTTGGCACAAAGAAGGTGTGGGAAGCAGCCAGAAGTGTAGGATTGGCTGTCACCTTCTTCCTCTTGTTAGAAGGCATTGGCTGCAAGACAGATTCTSAGGATCAAAGCTTTAGCAGCTTAGGTCTACTGTACAAGGAGCCCTTGAAAAGTAGTTTTGCAATGTAAATTTGGAACATTATGAGGTTTGTGCATACAAAAGGAAATCTTGTTGGTTTGAATGGAACAGCTGACTCTGGAGTTTTGCTGTTTGTTTTCTGATGCTTTAAGTAAATTCAGTGTCAGCCATGGTGAAGTACTCCAACCTTTTGCTTGCCTCCTTCATTGCATGCCATARGTATACACTGAGTAAAAACTTTGAAACCTAAACTAATATTGTAGTAGCTCTCAATGTAATATGCCACAGTGYTTGGAATAAAGTATTCAAATTAATATTCCCCTTTTGTATTTGGGAGAAAGCAGTGTGCAGGAGTCAACAGAGCTCTCTATTGGGTAAACGTGTTTGTAGACAAAGTTGTCTTTCTTTCATGGTTCCTGTTTTAGAAAAGTATAAAACCTCTCTTAAAGCAATTGAGGTGTACAGCTGCCTGAGAGGTTCTGAGAAATTTTACAAGATAAAATTTTTGGATGAGTGCCTGGCCTAAACCACTGAGCAACCATGAGYAGCTTAAGTGCATGTGTAGGGAAAACTATATTTTGAGTTGTCTTTCTGTTTCTTTTATTGCCAAAACATAGAAGCTTTCATGCCTGAATTACATAAAACATAATTTCAGATCCTGTTTATTACAGGGAGTCTTTTATGAAAGGGAAGATTTTTTTGTGTGGTTTTTACCTGAATTTAAGGTTTCAGAAAAAAWGTTGTGCCAAATATGCTGACTCACAAATGTTAGTCTGCAGCACATGAGAACCCTTCTTCAGAAGTCAGTCAATGTGGTATCAGTCTTATTTGAAACTTAGGTCTGAAAACATTCTGACAAAGAAAAATTTGCCACTGAATTTGCAGTGACACCAAGCAAATGGTTGAAACCTCTCGGCTCTTCCTGGCAAGGCTTTTCAGGAGAAAAAAAATCAAAATAAGTGAGGTTGGGGTAGTGGTAGTGTATGACTTGTAGAGGAGGAAAACTTCTTATTTTTAAAAAAATATTTTTATATTAACTTTATGTTTTGTAGCAGATGCTATACTCTAAGGCAGCAGTCTTTATCATCTGGAATCAGTGCTGATAATCTTCTGCAGAAAGGCAGCCTTGCAGTAACTTGTATCAGCCAATCTCATGAGATTGGCCATGCACCACACACACGTACACAGAAAGAGGTTTTCTTGTTATGAAGAACTGTGGAATCATGGGTGAAGGGGCCTGCCAGGATGAGTGGTATCTTGGTATCTTGCCTCTAATTAAAATCGAAGTGGTGGGGCTACCCTAGCTGAAGATACTGTTCTACAGAATGATGGTAGTAACAGTGCTGCTTGCTGTGAGCTCTCACAGCCTGTTTGAATGAGCCCTTGCAAACATGTTTTTCAGATGGGGAGGACTGAAGTTCTGTTTCCACTAATTTAATTGATTTGAGTACTGAGAGACGTYAGTGAAGTTTCCATCTTGTAAATGCTGTCCAACTATTTCTTTTAGATTTTTTAATTAATATGAGAAGACAATGTAGAACATCTTTCCTCCGTCTTCTTTAAAAATAAAGACCAAAGACATGGTAAGGTATTATTCCATGCAATAGCTTTCTTGCAGACTTGACTGATCTTGGGCAAGAAACTTGCTCAATTTACAAGCAAAATCTTTGATCATTCCAATTCACAGCAGTCCAGGGTTTGTAGTTGCAATTTGAGCTTCTATGCTTGTTGGCTGTGCAGTTACCATTCAACCAACATCCAGGGCTTTGTATTAGAGGTGTGGATGCTGCTTGTTGTGTCAGCTGGTGTGGAAACTTTCCACACAATAGTTAGAAACCAATATTATTTCCACACAATAGTTAGAAACCTGTTCCTAAGCTGAAGGAGAACTATTTTGGATACTCAACAAATTTACGATTGGTACATTTGTTGGCAGCCCTATAGTAAGCATTTACACTTTTGCCTGATTATACAACTATAATTTTCTAARTGCAAATGAAGTTACAGATGGCAGGCTGTTTGAGATACTGTTGTATCAACCTCATGGAACAAAAACATTATGATAATAATGGAGAAAAATATGGCAGCCAAACAAAAACATGAAGAAGGTGTTTGGGCATTGGAGTTATGGGGATAATTAAATGCAGCTGCAGATGCCTTCCAAATCTGTAAGAAATGCTGTTATTTTCAGAACAAAGTTTGCCTTTGAGCACTGCCAATGTCAATATCTTGTTTTAACGGCCTGGTTGAACTTGTGGCCAGGGGAGCAAACACAATGACTCATTACACAGCCTTAGTGCTCATTGAATCAATATGAGGTTAGCATCCCATCAGCCAGATTGCAGTGTCAGTCTGCAAGGGCCAAAGGAAGACACCCATAACTCTGAAGGGTTGTGATGGAGCTGCCTAGTACACAAACATGGCCAGTGAAAACATCTGCTTCTCTTCTGTCTGTCATCAGGTTTGGCACTAGGCATGCTTCTGAGCATTAAATTCAAGCTATTTATTTCTTTTTTCTCAAGCTTTGACATACAAATCTCTGTAATCCTGAAGCACTAAGATACTCTACTGCAGACATAACTGACTCCCTCCACCATGCCACGTCCTCTATTTCTTTGTGGGTTTTTTTGAAGAWGAGATTTTTGTCTTTGACAGTTGGAATTGCCTTGTAAGTGAATAGTCTTCTGAAACCATGGCCTATAAAACAAACAAAACAGTATTTCAAATTACTACTTGTAAGTGCAGTTTGGCTTGTATAAAGCAATGAGGTTCATGTTACCACATGACTTGTAATTCCACGTCTCAATATGATTATGTATAAATTGTTTCACATTTATCCCATATGGTCTATAGCATAATGATTTGGCCTTTCTTTTTCTTCCTTTTATTTTAAATCATTGTGATAAAACCCACCAAAAATAAGAGCACTTAACTCCTMTTTCCTCCAAATTGTTCTGCTAACTTTAAGGACAATTTAAAATACACTTATATAATAAAAGTGTACCAAYTGTATGACACTCAATTCTGTGTTTCAGGGTGTGAGTTGTCATATTGGGGAGGAATATATTTTCATGGCCACCTTGTTTTAGAGGCCTGTAAAACAAGTTTGACTTGAAGTGACCATTTGARCTTCATAAAGTTATTTAATCACACTGGAAAACTTGTTTCTTTTAATTAAAAATRCATACATAATCTATTTCCCTTATCCTGCAACTTGTTCTTCCTTGTCTCTTTTCCAGGGAATGTTCTGTTTGCTCTCAAACACTGGATATCCTGGCTCAGTGTACTGTTACTCCGGGAAGCAGAGCTGAGAGGACAAACTGAGAAGACATTATTGTGATGGCAAGTAGGAATGCAACACTTTCCCAGAAGTCTCTCATTTAGGGAAACATGCATATACTGTACTGCAAGAAAGCAACATTTTGTGAATGGGACTCTTTAAACCACTGACTGTAACCAGCTTTCTCAGTGCCTGCTGTAAAAGACTTCTGTAACTTTAAAGCAGGCTACAAGACTTTGTTCAGCAGGATCTAAGATCTTCCCAGACACTTCACCAGCCCTACAGACAGAACAAGATGATTGACCTAAGCTTCCTAACAGAGGAGGAGCAGGAGGCAATAATGAAGGTGCTGCAACGGGATGCAGAGCTTAAAAGAGCTGAAGAAGAGAGAGTCAGGTAAGGGATCTAGCACCCTGCTTTTCGTGGGAACACTTACACAGTTCCTGTACTGAGTTACTCAGGAGTAGATTAAAACAGCTGTTGCTGAGGGCCCCATATGTCTCAGTATATGTGGTTTGGAGATCTTTTGCTCTGGACTGGATTTAYCATAGTCTCTGGATGAAATGCCTCTACCACACAAATGGTTCATTTCTGGCCAAAATTGTTTTGGACTGTTGCAATTCCCTAAGGGTCCAAGAGCCCCCTGTTCATATCTGCCTGGATACACATCTGCCTTCGTTTCCTCAGAAGAGGATTCAGTTTGCAAGTGTCAAAACCACTGCAGACTAATGCAGACTGCAGACTAATTAGACTGGACTAATGCRTAAGTGGGGGATTTGGTTCAAAAGGAATATGAGCACCCTCAACAAACCAAAAGTATAGTTGCAGTCAGCAGTATGTCTGAATGCTGAAGTTATACCTAAAATRTGGGGAGCTGCAATATATAGTAGCTGCAGTCCAGAAGTACCAACACTGTGCCCCACTGCCAAGAGGTGTTCTTGCAATTCTGGGCATAAAGCAAAAAAACACTCCTTGATTTCTTGGTGGTGTCACAGCTGAAGCAATTGTTGTTATCCTAGAGTGTTTTATGGGCTGGGAGTTTTTACTGGAGCTACTATGAGGGTAACTACAATGACTAGAAATGTATGCATGGAAAGCAATGTTTTCCAGATGGCTCTGAGAAAGCATCTATCTACACAGGTATAAATAGCAGTCAAATAGTTGCTTCAGCTGATATAGAGAGGACCTGCTCAAGAGTGAGGATWTGGTAGTTCTATTTTTTTTCTTTTCGGTGTGAAGGAACTTATCCATTACAATGTACACAAAATAACATGTGGACAAATAAGAAAAATGGAGCCTGAGGTGCTGAAAATTCCAAGTGCTATAACAGAAACCAATTTTTACAGGCCTCAGTGCAGGCAGGATTTTCTCACACTGATTTTGCAATCTTCTCTAAGATTCCTTCTAATTGTGACGTTCGTCATGAAGTAATGTATTTCCAATTTATATGTTTTGCAATTGTTCCAACCATGATGCATCTCTGATGCATCTTTTCTATTGTGAAAGATTTTTTATGAATGTCCTCTGTGTAGGCTTACCCTGTATCCTGCAAAGGAAAAGGCAGCCGGCCACTTGCCCTAAAAGCATCATTCCTTTTGCTGAGTATGCTTTTGCAGCCTTGAGGTTGTTCTAACAGCATGTGGTCAGCATTTTGCTGAGTTATTCCTCTTGCTTCTTTTAAGAGCAATGAACTGTAGACCAGTAGCTTCTTCTTGTTTAAAAGACTTTTCCTCTCAAGGCATTTGCTTTRCCGGAGGTAAAATCATTACAGGCAGTGTTCCAAATTACCGCCCGTCTTAATGCAGCCTGAGTAAATATTTTCACCACACAATTTCTGCTTCAAAAAGCAGTAAAGTGACTTTTCTGTAACAGAATAGGCATTTTGTTTACTCTAGGTAGAGAAATGCTGGTTTTAGTCTTGGAATGTTACATCAGTGCCAGGTCTGAAAGTGTTCAGGGTACATAATTGTAGTTGTAAGTTTGAAAACAGCATCTGGGGAAAGGAACCCTTCTTGGAACAGAAATTAAAAAAAAAAAAGCTTTCAGTAGTGGTCTGAGAGGACAGACAGYAAGTATTTTTGTCTGTGTATCCTTACTTTTGCCATTTATAATTCTAGTTTAAGAGGGCATGGTGGAAAATGCAAGAGACTGCAGGTTGTAACAGCCTGTAATCAGCACGTTTGCTGTTACAATAAAATGTCTCTTCTGGTTTCTAAATATTATAACTTCTGAGAATCTGGAAGCTTACATATGAAATGGATTTTTTGGCTTGATTATGGCACATGGAGCTTGCTTTTTATAGCTTATATATKAAAACATTACTTGAATTTTATCTCCAGCCAAGGAGATGCAGTATTTTAGTTTGAATTCTGTAGCCTTGTRCAACTGGAAGATTCCAAGAGCTGGGATCAACTGTCAGGAAACATCAGATCCTGATAAAGCGTTATTTGTATGTGTATATAATGGAAGTCTTTTAATGTGATTTTTTTGCCTCTCCAGAAGATACTCTGAGGTTTGAAGGGTGTTGTAATAAGCTGTGCCGTGTTCTTGGAGCGTGGACAAATTGGTAACATGACAAAATCCTCTTTGAGCAACTTCCTAGTGGAATTTTACAAATCAYCTTACAGAGTCCCTTCCCTGCTAACAGTTCCTAGTATTGCTAATCTAATAAAACTGCACTGATTAGGCTGGCCCATGCAGCCTTCTTAAGGCAGACTGCTTTAATTCTTGGTTTGTTGAGAGCTGTAATAGGCATTTTCCCATCTTATGGCTCCTTTTGTGTTGGTCTGGRTCAGCATGATTAGTTATAGGTACAGCATGCCTGCATCCTCTTTCACCTCTGCTGAAGTTTGTCTCAAAGGAAAGACGATATTGATGGCAAAATTGGCAAATTGGCGAAAGGGTGAYGAAAAAATCTCAGATGACAAGATGGTCTTTTGCTTTTCCTTGTGAYGCAAGGAAAGCAAAAGATATTGCATGCTTTTATATTCCTAGTGCAAGAAGATGCCTCCCTTTGCTTCCTTACCCTAGGAGCTGCAACAGGTTCAGTGAATGGCATTGTTGCTGGGGAGTGTGGCAAAGGCATAAAACGAGTCAAGTGACAGCTTGTGAAGATTAAAAGTTATTTTTCAGCATATTATGGACTTATTTTGGTTTTGTTGTCATCATTCCGTCCAGGAATCTCTGATATGCCCTGCTCCAGCATTGAACAAATGAGTGGGCTAAGTACATAACTGAATTTCCTGGAAGTAACTTCAGCTTTACCCCTACCTCTTTTTACAGATTCATAGTTCAGAATTAACTTTRGCCCTTTCTGGTGAGCAGAAATAAATCTGAGAAGTTGTGGAGTGTGGTTGGGTGACTGTTCAGTGGTTTGAGTAGCTGAGCCCTGGCACCAGCGTGTCTAAGGCAGAAAGCTGTTGTGGTCACCCTTGTGACAGGGTCCCCTTTTGTGTCTATCAGCCTTTCCCAGCAGAACCTCCTGGCACCACTCTTGTGGGCTTTGCTTSGGATTGTTTGCTCCTTGTGCAAACTGAAGAAGGTTAATGATAGGGGAAATTCTGATGTGGAGTTGTTTGTATGGTGGGTGGGGATTGCTGTGTGCCAAACCCCTTTGATACATTCATTGGTGTGGCATCGCGAAAAGAGAGAAAGCTTCAGGGGTCTGATTCTGCAAGGTCTGTGTGGCTGTTGAAACCCCATTGTAAATGTTATTATGGCTCTGGCTGTTTTTAACATCCTCTCTAGTTACYTTTCAAGGCAGTTTTCTTTGTATCGTCGACTGTCAGAAGGAAGGCTCTTTTGTGATATGGGCTATGTTTAAGGTATTGGGGTGAGCTTCACATTGGCATTGGGGAAAACAGACTTACCACTGTAATGTGAAAATAATTGACACCAGAATACATTCAAATCRTCATAAAATAGTTTTTTTTAGATGAAACAGTTTTGAGTGTGTGCTTAACAGTGGCAAGGAGGTTCTTGGTGCACCTGTTGCAGCAGAAAAGGATAATYTCATGTCTTCTGGCTGAAATCCCCCTTAGGCACAATGCTTAGCACTACATGTGATTTTCCAAATACAGTGACTGTCCCGGGAGTAGAGCAATTTTATTGTCTAGCAGAATGTACTTGTCATTATTTATCCTTTTTTGACAAAGCCAACTGACATTAGAACRAAGACTGGGAGGATGGTCTCAGCCCACCTTGTAAATGGCCAGTAAGAAAAGCAGGACTGTTTTCATCCTGATCTGATGAGATAACTGGGGTGAAAGAAGAGACCTTACTTACTGGTCTTGGTAAAAGGTATGGCATTGTACTRCACTCAGAAATGAGCTGATATCTTTTCTTCACAGTATTGGTTGCTAATTTTTCTGCTAGTAGCAAATAATTGTTTGACTGGAYGATTATTGTTTGGGACTGCTAGTGAAGCAGGGCAGATGGGGCTTATTCTGTATGATAGAAGAATGTATTGAAGGGGGAAAAAAGGATATTAATAATGATTTTTAACCTTTATATKGAATACTCCCTCTATAAGCATATTTTCCTGCAGTACAAAACTTTCTTGGTTTTGATAAGACCTATCACATGTTTGTACATGGCATCGTGTTGTATTATTAAGTGCCAAACTGAAGCCTTTGTCTTCAGGTTAGATTAGTCTTGATTTGTGGTTCACTTGAAATCCTAAATGCAACCTCTTCTTTAGCACAGCAGGAAAGATGCCATTGCTGGTAATATGGAGGAAGCTATGATACAGGCCTTTCTGCTCACGTATATTTGCTTGTATGTGTCATTTGGTGGGGCTGCTTTTATGCTTCATATGCCTACTTTTAAAGGCTGTAAAGAGCTGGGGACGCTGTGCGAGCAGAACCTGCTGGTTACATACTTTCTAACAGCCTCTCCCCTTGTTCACCCCTTGTTCAGATTGTCCTGTGCTACTGTCCAGGCAGGTTCTAATACCAAAGGTGTATTGTCACAGGACAGCTGCTCCTTCACTGTGAGGGTTTAGTTTGTTGGTCTGGTTTTGTTTTCCCCTGGCAGGTTTACTTGGGCTGGATATGAAGAGGGAGGGGAGGCCACTGGGGAACCCCTATGCAAATCCTTTAAAATAAGCAGACAAGCTGTTCTGGAAATGAAATAAATTGAAGCTAATAGAAACTGCCAATACTGGCAGACCTTGAAAACTCCTGCCTCCTGTAGCAAGACTCAAGAGTCTTGATATGGATTTCCTCAGTGGAATAAAGTTAAGCTTCCACATACTAAGAAATGCTTCAACAAATTCACATATTCTTTGTGTCTGCCTATGGAGTATCTAAATACATGAAATATATAATTAATTGCTTGTAAAATGAAGCTTCTTTCAAACTTGATAGTGCAAACTACTAACAAGAGAGTAAGTCTGA